TCCACCAAACTGGGGCGCCCCCCGCCCCAGGCGGCCCGGAGAGGGAACGTTCTTCTGTGTTTTCGCCGCCCTGGGCGGGGGTCCGGTCGGGCTCCTGGCTCCCCGGCGCCTCCACCCCTCAGGCCACGGTGGGTGCATGTGTCGGAGGAGCAGGGCCTGACCCTGGGGCCTCACCTCCGGCGCCGGGCAGGCCGGAGGCCCGGCCTGGGGCTCACCCCGCAGCCCAGGGCTGGGAAGCCTCAGGGCCCAACAAAGCTGCCAGCGCCCGTCCCTCACACCTCCTCACAGGGTGCCGGGGGCCCAGGGGGGCACAGAGGCAGGCAGGGGCGCCTTGCCAGGTCTCTGCACCCCACTGGCTGGGACCGGGTCACGTGCCCCCTCCAGAACCGCCCTGGGCCCAAGGCACCCAGATGGAGACTCACCCCCGGGCCCAAGGCTCAGGGCTGCAGCTTACACCCACGGGGGGCGGGAGGGGGCGGGGGGGGGAGGCAGACCTGCAGCGAGATTGGGGGGGGTGTCACGCCAGAGGCTGAGAGGCCCCAACGTCCGACGGCCTGGGTCCCCTGCGGTCCCCGCTTGCCGGCGGGCCGTGTGACTGGGGGGGATGCCCGCACCGCTCTCGGGTGGTGGGAAGGGGTTTTGAGTGGATTCCGGTCCCTGGCGACAGTTCCGGTTCAGCTAAACAGGCGCCTTTGCAGGGAAACCAATGCTGCCCGTTGCTGCAGGCGCATCCATCCAACGGGCTGTGTGTGTCCACAGCGGGGGTCGCCGCCTGCGTGCAGGGAGTGCTGGCGGTGCAATGGGTGAAGGGGTCTTTCAAGGAGATCTTTGTGCCTGGCCCCCGACCCCCGCTCGGACCCCCAACCTCCAGGTCCCCGCTTTACCTTTGCTGCGCGGGTCGGGCCCGCAGTACCAGCGGCCGCCACGCGATGGCAGTGTCGCTCCACGTTCGCGGCCCCGCGCGTGGGCTGAGCCGCAGCGAGGGCGGGGGCGGGCCCGCGTGGGGGCGGCTGCCTGCAGGGCGGAGCCCCGCCCCGCGCCGAGGGCCGTGGGCGGGGGCCGGGCTGCTTCCCTCACACTTGGATCTGCCTCCCCTCACACCTGCAGACCTTTCCCGGCCTCCGTGCCCCGCTCTGCGCCCAGGGAGCCGGGCTGTGTGGTCCTGGGAGCCTGCCCCAGGCTGGACCGGGGCATAGGGTGGGGGTGAGGCCCGCTCTGCCCAGCCCTGGGGGTCTCCTAGGCCATTGCTGCCAGCGCCGCTACCCCCCATGCCCCCCAGCAGCCCTTCAGGATCAGGAAAGGCCTTGTCCTCCTCCTATCAACGCCGGAAGCACCCCCTTAGATACAGACCTGCTAGTCCGCAGACGTCGTCTTCACCCAATCACAGGCAGGCCCAGGAGAGGCGGAGCTGGGGTTGCCTTGTCCGCTCACCGAGGAGCTCAGAGAGGGCTAGAGGCTTGCCCGAAGTCACACAGCCCGGAGGTGGTGAGGGCACCCTCAGGACCGCGTCCCTCTCCTGGCTCAGCCGCCATCGGCATCCTGAGTCTGGGGGGGTGTAAGCCGGCCCGCTACCCCGCTGGGTCCCAGCAGCACTTCAAACACAGGGCCAGGGCCAGAGGGAGGGGGAGGGGTTGTGCTTTATGTTTATTTTTTTATTTATTTTATTTTTTAAAAATATGTTTTATTGATTTTTTACAGAGAGGAAGGGAGAGAGATAGAGCTAGAAACGTCGATGAGAGAAACATCCACCAGCTGCCTCTTGCACACCCCCTACCGGGGATGTGCCCGCAACTAACGTACATGCCCCTGACCGGAATCGAACCTGGGACCTTTCAGTCCGCAGACCGACGCTCTACCGCTGAGCCAAACCGGTTTTGGCTATGTTTACTTTTAAATATATTTTTTATTAATTTCAGGGAGGAAGGGAGAGGGAGAGACAGAAACATCATTGATTGGCTGCTTTCTACATGCTCTCCACCGGGGATTGAGCCTGCCACCCAGGCCTGTGCCCTTGACCAGAATCGAACCAGGGACCCCTGAGTCTGCAGGCTGACGATGCTCTATCCACTGAGCCAAACCGGCTAGGGTTTTATTTTTTTTAAATGCATTTTTATTGATTTCAGAGAGGCAGGAAGAGGGAGAGAGAGAAACATCAGTGATGAGAGAGAATCATGGATCAGCTGCCTCCTGCATGCCCCCTACTGGGTATTGGTTGCAACCCTAGTATGTGCCCATGACTGGGAATTGAACCGTGACCTCCTGGTTCCTAGGTTGACACCCACTGAGCCACACTGGCCGGGGGGGGGGGATGTGTGTCTATTGTAGACGGTGTGGTCTGGGAAGGCCTCCCGGAGGAGGTGACATTTGAGTTGAGAGCTGCAGGGAGAAGGGGCAGGTCCTGGGAGGACCTGGAGGGGGGCGAGGAGAGGAGATGCCAGGGCGAAGAAGGGGTGCGGGTGGGACCGGCGAGCAGGCCCCCGGGAGGCCGGAGGCTGCAGGGCCAGGAGCCCGGACCGGCTGGCAGAGGGAGGCGAGGGAAGTCTGCCCTGAGAGGCAGGGTGCCTGTGCGGGGTGGTCCTGAGTGGGGAGCAGGAGGGCCTGATCCGTGTGATCCTCCTGGGGGACACACACTGCCCCACCATGCCCCCTGCCTGAAAAGGCCTTATCTCTGGTCACAGGCGCCCGCTTTCCCGGGCCTGTTGTCTGTCAGACACGTGGGCACGTTGGCAGACTCACCCCAGGCCACGCCGGGCACGTGTCCCCTCCCGGTGGGCGGCCTGTGCATTTCCCCTCGTACCCTGGTCCTCGCCGCCCTCACCCCGCACAGGCCCGGCGCACAGGAGGCGCTCAGCTCAGCCAGCACTCGGGAACGAGGGCGGGAGGGATAGGAGGTGGCCGGCAGCCTGGCCAGAGGGTCCCCAGGAGGGCCTGCCAGCTCTGGGGGTTCATCCCGGGGAGGAGGGGGCCGTGGGGGCCTCCAGGAGGCCACACACCGTCCAGCCTGGCACGTGGGTCTGCGTGCACCCCAAGCCTGGCCGGGGTGCCGGCTGGGGGCTCTGCCGGGGCCGGGAAAACCCTGTATGTTGCCTAATCACCCCGGGCCTGGCCTGCCCACCTGCCCCCGCCCGGCCCCCGCCCCCTTCCTCTCGGAGGAGCGGAGAGCCGCTCGCTAATGAGGCTGTCGGTACTAATGAGGCAGGTGCGCGCCAGCTGGGAGGGGCGGAGGCCGGCCTGCGGGGGAATCAGACACAGTGATAATGGCCGTGATGAGGAGAATAATAATGTGGCTTCCTCGTCAGGGCAGGAGTTGTCTGTGCGTGATCTGGGGCCCCGGTGGAGGCCGCCGGGGCGCCTGCCTCTCAGAGGGGGAACTGAGGCCCGGGAGGGGCCACGGGCCCTGTCTCCAGGGCGCACGGCCAGGTCCCTCCAGAGCCTCACCCCCCATCCGGGCCGCGCGGAGTTTGACCCACTTTGTCCGGGAAAATGGAGCCGGGGGAGGCGGGGGGCTGGTGGATGAGGGTTGGGGCAAGCGCGGTCCCCCCCCCAGGCTCCCCACCCCCCAGACCCCCTGCGCCTGCAGCTGTGCCATCTGCGGAAAGCTGGCGGGGTGCCCTGTCCGGCCCGAGGCACAGCCACGCCCCGGGCCTGGCCCAGGTTGGGGGGGGCGCCCAGGAAGAGCCAGGGCTGGTGGAGAAAGGGCACCGGGAGCCCCTGAGGCCCTGCCCCGGGCAGGGGGCATCCGGCCACCCGTCCTCCTCTCTGCCTCTGCTCCCGCTTGCCCCCCCCCCACCGGGGTCACTGACCGCTGGGCCTTCCATCCCGCAGCGCCTCGAGCGCGCTTCCTGCCCGTAAATAAAGGACCGGGCCTGCTTCTCACCTGGCGCACAGCCCACGACGCCGCAGGTCTGTCTCGGGATCTCGGACCGCCCTCTGCCCCCCCCAGGCACCTTGAGCCGCGCCAAATCCATTCCGGGACCTGCGCTCAGCCTCGCCGTCCCTATCACCTGCCCCCCCCCTTCCCGCCCCGGACCTGCCCCCCCACCCCGGACCCGCCCACCCGGGACCTGCCCACCCGGACCTGCCCCCCCCCCGACCTGCCCACCCGGACCTCCCCCCCCCACCTGCCCCCCCACCTGCCCCCCCGGCCCTGCCCCCCCCACCTGCTCCCCCCTCCCCGCACCTGCCCACCCGGACCTGCCCCCCCCCGCACCTGCCCCCCCGGACCTGCCCCCCCCGCACCTGCTCCCCCCACCTGCCCGCCCCGGACCTGCCCACCCGGACCTGCCCCCCCCCCCCGCACCTGCCCACCCGGGACCTTCCCACCCGGACCTTTCCCCTCCCCCCTGCACCTGCCCACCCCAGATCTGCTCCCGCCCCCCGTACCTGCCCACCCGGGACCTGCCCCCACCCGCGGACCTGCCGCCCCGGACCTGCCCCCCCGGACCTGCCCGCCGTCCTCAGCCCCAGCCTGGGAACTCCCACCGCGACGCCCCCAGCACGACCAGACCTCCCCGGCCTTCTTGGGGAGCCAATCTGCGCCCCCCCCCCCCCCCCCCGGGTCTCCCAGCCTCCGCGCCCGGCGCCCTCCCCCGGGGACGCCGGGGAGTGGCCTGTCCCGCCGCCTATCACCCCGCTCCGGCGGCCCCGCCCCGCCCCCGCCTCCCGCCCCGCCCTCCCCTCCCTCCGCCCCGTCCTCCGGCTCCCGAGCCGCCGCGCTCACTCTCCCCGCGGCTCCGGCGGCGGCGGGCGCGGCGGCGGGAGCCGGGATGGGACGGGCGCTGGGACGCAGCAGCCGCGGAGGCGGCGGCGAAGGCGGCGGCGGCCGGGGCCAGGCCGCTCGGACCCAGCGCGGCGCTGCCGGCGAGGGTGCGGGGCGCTGAGCCCGGACCCGCTCCCTCCGCGCCGGGCGCAGCCCGAGAAGCGCCGCCGCGCCCGGAGGAGCCCGGGAGGAGCCATGCCCGCCGCCCCCGCCTAGCGCCGGGCCGCCCGGAGCGAGGACCATGCGGCCGCCGCTCGGGCTGCTGCTGGCGCTGGCCGCGCTCCGCTGCCCAGGTAACGCCCCGGGCCCCCCGCCGGCCCCGCGCCGCGCGCAAAGTTGGCTCCGGCTCCGGGCGGCCGCCTCCTTCCCGAGTCCCCGCTGACTTGGGGAGACCTGGGGGACTTGGGGAGACCCTGGGAGCCGGGGGGTGTCCCCGGCACAGACCCCCTTTCCAAGCGCGAGCCCGCGCGCCCCCCTCCCCGCTCCCCTGCGGAGCCCAGGAGGCGAGTGGGGGCGCGCCTCCAGGAATCCAGTCCCCCGCCCCGCCTCGGGGCGCGTCCTCCCTCCCCCCCGGGTCCTGGCTCTCGCGGGGTTTCGCTGTGGGGGCGCAGGGGGACCCCGCTCTCGACTCCCGCATGCCCGTGGGCGCGGGCCCGGAGTTCCCGGGACACCTGCGGGCCCGGCCGGCTCAGGGCGCCTCCGCCCGCGGGGTCTGGCACGTCCCCCGCTGCTCCCCACGCCCGGCGCCCAGGACCCCCCACCCCCCAGGGGCCTGGCCCGGGGCTCCCCTACACCCGGCCGCCCCCGCGCGCGGACCCCAGGCCGCCGGGCAGCCGCGGGGCCTCCAGGAACGCGGGGATGCCCGCCGCCGGCGCCGGGGTTCGGGGTCCGGGAGCGGGGCTCCGCCTGCCCCGGCACCGTGCGCGTGGGAATCGCAAGCCGCCCCGCTCCCTCCCGTCTCCGCGGAGTCCGGAGAGCCTCCCGCCGCCCGGCGCGGCTCTGGGCCGGCTCTGGGGGAAACGCGGCTCCGGAACGCCGGTCCCTCCCTCCCCCGCCGCCGGCCGCGGAGGAGCCGCCGAGAGGCGCCGGGACCGGGGCGCGCGACGCGGGAGCTCCCTTCGCCGACCTTCCCGGGCGGGACGCGCGGGCGGGGGACCGGCGGGCGGCTCCGGCCTCAGACACCCCCGCCCCGGGCTCCGCGGAGGCAGCCCCGCCGCGCGGGCACCGGTGCGGGGGGCGCGCAGCCCGAACTTTTCAGCTCCAGCGTCTGGGGAGGCGGCGGAGGAGTTCGGCGTGTCCGTCCGCGTCCCTGTGCGCTGCGGTGCGTGGGAGCCTGAGCGCTGTCTCCTGTGAGGGTCCCCCCCGCCCGGTGACCCCGAATGTGTGAGGGAACCTCCGTCTGGCCCGGAGGAGGCGCTGGGCCCGAGGCGCCTGCCCAGCCGCATCCCCTCTCCTTTCTGCCCGGCGAGTCCGCGGCGCCGGGCACCGGAGAGCCGGCCGCTGCGGGGGGAGGTGCGGGCGACGCCCGGGCCCCGTTTCCAGAGCGCACAGGCCTGGGGGCTCGGCCGAGGCTTTGTGTCTCCCCGGGGCTCAGCGCTGGCCTGTGGGCCTCCGGAGCGAGCGCGGGACCTTTCCGGAGAAGCCGCCGGCCTCGGGCTGTACAAAGAGTACATGGGGAGCCCCCGGGGCTCCCCATCTCCCCCCTGGAAACGGAGAGCTCGTGCGCGGCTGGGGAGGCCTGGGCCCCGCAGGGCAGGTGTGCCACCCTGAACTCTGTTGCTGGTCGCGCTCCTGGCCCGGCTGCCATGGCTGGGCAGCTCCTGGGCAGCCCCCCCCCCCCATCGCCGTGGCTGGGGGAGCTCCTGTGTCCCCCCTCCCCCCCAGGGACAGCAGAGACAGTTCGGGGCCTATATTTAGCCGCAGTTAGCGGCGCTGGGGGAACCAGGCTGGATTCCTGAAGATACTTAGTTGCCTGCGGTGGGTGAGGAGGGACTGCGGGAGCGAACCAGCTTCCCTCGGAGCAGGTGGCAGTGGGGGGTCCTTCGGGGGCGGCGGAGGGGCAGGCGGAGGGGAGAGGCGGAAGGGCCTGCTCTCCGCGGGGCTGCCTGCGCTCACCCGTGCCCGCGCCCCCTCCGGCGTGGGCAGCTGCCTGGCAAAGAGCGAGGTGGGCGCGCTTCTCGGAACCAGATGGGCCTGTGCTGGGGCGCGTCCGCACCGCCCGGCCCCGCGGCCAGGGAGCCCGCGCTGGAAGCGCCTCAGTGCAGGCGGAGGCTTGGCCACGGAGGCGCGGGGGCCTCCCCGCAGGGGGGTGCGGGGGGTTGGGGGGGGGCGCCCTGCGCCGGTGACCCGTGACCGTGTGGGTGGGAGAAAGGCTTTGGGGGTGGCAGCGCTGGGAGCGGGAGGAGGGCCCCGCCTGGCACCGCCTGGCTCTCCTGACAACGGGGTGGGGTGCCTCTGGGTGTGGGGGTGTCTCTGGAGAGGCGGCCTGGGGGGGGGGGTCAGGCCATGGGATACAAATGCTGGCGCCGCCCCGGAGTGATTTAATGGCGGGACAGGGCCGTTCTCAGCGTAAATCACTGCAGCCCCGCCCGCCCCAACCAGAGGCAGAGGGGGGCGGAGGGGGGTGGGGGGACCTCTGTCTGGGCTTCGGGGCTGGGAGCCAGCAATGGGCATGGGCTGCCTGGGTCCAGGGACACCAAGGAAACCCCCGCTGGTTGGCGGGGAGTCTGGGCGGGTGTTCCCGCGGCAAAGGCCTTGCTGGGGCCTCGTTCCCGGAGGGGGGCTCCTCCCCCAGTTGTCTGCGGCTGGGGGGCCCCTTCCTTCCGTGCTGGGTCTGAACTGGATGCGACGAGGAGGCCCCTTTCCCTCTGGCGCTCCGCATTCAGCACAGGCCCTCCCCCCCCCAATTAACGAGGACCCTCGGCACCTTAGGCGGCACCCCTGGGGGTGGACAGTGAGCTCCCCACCCGTCCCCAGCGAGAACGAGCGGACTCACAGCCCGGCCGGGGTGGCTCAGGGGTTGAGCGATGACCTAGGAACCAGGAGGTCACGGTTAGATTCCTGTTGGGGCGCAGGCCCTGGTTGTGGGCTCCATCCCCACTAGGGGGCGTGCAGGAGGCAGTAGGTGGATGATGATTCTCATCATGGATGTTTCTCTCTCTCCCTCCCCCTCGCCCTTCTTCTCTGAAAGCCATAAAATATATTTAAAAATTTAAAGAAAAGAATAGGCCAGAACCGGTTTGGCTCAGTGGATAGAGCGTCAGCCTGCAGATTGAAGGGTCCCGGGTTCGATTCCTGTCAAGAGCATGTACCTTGGTTGCAGCCACATCCCCACTAGTGGGTGTGCAGGAGGCAGCTGGTGGATGTTTCTCTCTAACTCTATCCCTCTCCCTTCCTCTCTGTAAAAAATCAATAAAATATATTTTCAATAAAGAAAAGAATGGGACTCGGGGTACATCCCCCATCGGCCCCTCCGCACGTGGGCCAGAGGAGACGCGGCCGGATCGGGAGGGGCTGGTCACACACGTTCTCTGTATGAAAACTCCCAGGTCTGTCTCACGCCACCGCCCTGGGCTTCGGTGCCAATGCGGAGCCCGGTGGGAGGTGTCAGTATCACGATGCAGTGCGTCTGCCTTCTCTCTGGGAACGGGGAGATGCGGTCTAGGCCCTGGAGCTCGCTGAGGCTCAGTTTGCCCATCTGTGCAATGGGCCTGTCTCCGCTGTGACCCAGTGCCCCCGGCGGGCTGTCTGATAAGCAGCAGACCCGTGTTCCTTCCAGATCCAGAGACCGGGAAGCCCAGGACCAAGGTGTGGGCGTGTCTGTCCTGAGGAGGACGCTCTTTGCTCCCCTGGGGGGGTCAGAGGGCACTCACCCCATGGGGCTCCTCCCTCCGGCCTCATCAGCTCGCGGAGGCCCCGCCCCCCAACTCCATCCCCCGGGGGCCGGGAGGTTCCAACATATGGGTTTGGGGGGTGCAACCCTTGACAGGGCAGCTCCTGCACCCCTCCACCCCCTCTGTTTCCTCTGCCCCTCCCGCCGCAGTCAGGGTTCGCCCCCCCCACCTGACCGTAATTGACCAATCCCCACGCCTTACGCTGCGGCCCCAAAGTTGTTATAAAAAAAAAATCAATGGAGTCAATCGGACGTGCTGCGTGGCGTGGCTGTGGTGCTGGCGGCGGCCTGCAGGCACCGGCCTGGGTGAACCCTGGGGGAGCCCAGCACACAGCGCCAACCCCTACCCCTGCTCCCGGTGAATGGACAGGGAAACCCCGCCGCAGCCCCATCCGTGGGCCTGCGGGGCGGGCGCTGGGGCGGGTGTGGAAGGCGGGTGGCGGGCTCTGCCAGCTTTGGGCCGGGCGTCTGCCCGGCTCTCCGTGCGGGGTGCTGGGGATGAGTTTCCACTCCGGCCCGGGTTTCTCCTTCTGTGGCCCTGGGCTTCTCCTCAATCAAATTCCGTTTTCTCCGCCTCCTCCCGCGATACTTACCCACGTGTAAGCTCAGTCAGACCCTGTCAAACACGTTGCTTGTTATTGTCTGCACCCCTGAAACCAGGCAGCGCCCAACGACGGCCCGGGGGTCAAACCCGGCCCTCCACTTGTGTGTTTCAATAAAGCTTTATTGCAACACAGCTGCGCCCGTGTGTTTGCACACTGTCTGTGGCTGCTTTCTCACCACAGGGACCCAGGTCATTGTGACAGAGATCCTATGACCTGCAAAGCCCCAATACATGCTCTACACGCTGGCCTTCCCCCCCCCCCAAGACCGAGCTTGCCTTTGGTGGTCAAACAGGGGCTGCTCTGTGCAAATGGGCGTTTACAGCCCTTTGTGGTCCAGAACCAGAAGCCTTTGAACGGGAGAAAACATTGCCCAGCGTGTCTGAGTGAGAAGAATTGTGGGTCTCAGTTGAAAAGGCAAAACATATTGATCGGACGCCGCCATCGGCTCCGCGGTGGTCCTGGGCGGGTGGGGCTGGGTGATTGCAGGAGCGTTTATGTAACGGATTAAAAATAGCGCCGCACGTGCGGCGGGCGGGTATTTTCTGCTCCGCAGGCGAAGCGCGCTGATGGCTCCAGCTCAGAAGACCCCGCGCGGGGGCGCTGCGGAGGGAACTAGTGCGCCAGGGCCCGCCGTTAGCTCTTTCCCCCTGGGGATGACAACCACCTGCGTGCTGGTTACAGCTGACCAGAGCCGCCGAAACCGGTGTGGCTCAGTGGATAGTGTCGGCCTGCGGACTGAAGGGTCCCAGGTTCGATTCGGGTCAAGGGCAGGTACCTTGGTTGCAGGCACATCCCC